TACAGTATATCGCGGAATCTTAGAATTGAATTGAATTTGCTGCTTTATAGGGGACCGTTTCTGCCGCGTCATTGGAAGACGAGAGGGAGTCCGCTATAGCTTCATCACCCGCTGCCACTTCAGACTCATCTTATTCTCCTAACGCTCACATAGGATCTTTTCAATAATTGGCTTGTTCTGCCAAATAGTCTTCTGTTGCTTCGTCGGAGTCGGAGGATGGGATGTTGTCGGACCGAGGTCACAAAGGAGAACCTTACATAACTCGAAAGTGAATCCCTGTCAGTCAGATAGATCTTTCTCCGTAACACCCTTTTTTTTCGTCTAGTGTCATGGTTTGATCAATCAATAGAATGAAAGGGGGAACCTCTAGTAGAATAGAAGGAATAAGATTCTGCCATCGCTTAATCAAGCGCTACTGCTTCCTTTCATTTTCATTTTTCCGGCTGAGTCATCTTTCTCCCGGCCGTCTTCTATCATCAGCCTAAGGATAAAATAGATAGTCCAGCATAAGCCCAGAGATCGGGGATAATATAACAGCTTTAATGCCTATAAAACTAGAAAGGTCGGCAGTAACGACACTTTGACCGTCCTTCATTGAAATTGAAAGGAAGGGCTCACACACTTATAGAATAGTATTGGTCGACCCCAGAAAATCCTTTTCTTTTGATCTTCGAACCCCAGTTTCGCTCGCCTAAGCCTAAGGGGCATCAAAGATACGATTCGTTCACAGCCGATTCGAAGTCTATCCATATCCATCTACACTAAATGAAGAAAAGTCTATTTTTCCCGGTTCTATTCTATTAATAAGTAGATTCCCAGGTTATTTCACTTCACTCAAAAATAAATCATTGAATCTGACTCTTCTTCCAAAATTGGGTCTGGGCACTTATCTACTTATTTGTTTGAGCTCATCGAATCGGAACTATCAAATCAAGGAGCTAGTAGATAGAGGTATGGGGCGTAGAATGCCATAGATACTTGCCTTAGAAGCGATCGTTACAAAAAGAGAATGAAAAACTTAATTCGATCTTCAAAATCTTTCCTCTCCGAGAGTGAGTCACGAATGGAAGATTACCTCGGTAAGGAAATAAAAAACCTTCTTCTCTTCTTCTGGTCGAAGACTGTATGAAATATTAGTTTCCTGCTTCAGTGGGCGTACACGAAGGGAAAGATCAATTGCAAGCTCTAAGAGGTCAAGACAGCACTAAACTACTTCTTTCTTTTGAAGCCCGTCGTAAGCGAGGCGAGATGGAGAGTCAAAGGAAAGACCTAAGCTCTGGTCTATGCTGCTTCCCCTTTCCCTACCATAGCCCAAGGTAGGAATATACCTTAGAGAAGAAAGAAAAAAGGGTGATCGAAATGACATAAGTTATAGACCTAAGACCAAACAACCAATCGAAAAAAGGCTCACCTTACCCAGCAATCAAACTCAATAGATAAAGAGAGAAATTAGCTGTAGGCAAAGAAGCAATCGGAAAAAGAAAGAAATATAAGATCACTCTACGACCATTCTGTATGGCAATAGTCAATATTCGATTTAGGCTAAAAAAAAGACCATAGAATCACCCAACAAGATTGATTGCTAGCAGTAATATTCAAGTTAGGTTAGCGCTTTTCCCAGACCTGGAGATATGCTCGTCTTCCTTCCAGGAAAGCCTTTCTCCAAGCAGCTAAGCTAGTTCATCCGCATCTGTTGTCGTAAAGTAGGTCTTGGTCCTTGAATCAGTCCGGAGTTAGCATGTGATTAGTTCGAGGCGCTAGCTTTACTAGTTGGAGTAGGAGTGGTGGTACTTACTTTCGTTCTTTGGTGGTTTATATCCATTCTGCTTTTGTTGAAGGAAGGAATAACGATTGGACTGCTCCCCCGGGGAAAAATCTTCACTAACAAGGCTAGCCTAGCGAAGTCACTTCTGGATTCACTTCTTTTTTGAGTGAAGTGCACACCCGCGTAAATGGATTGAGGGGTTCCAACCCATCCTATCAGTTCCATCTCGCATTGAGAAACCTGCCATTCGAAGTCAGTCTTTGGGACCGCCCAGCACAGCGTAGAAGGGGTTGGGTCATCGGACCTCCTTCAAAGGTTGGCGAAACGGGTTGCTAATTGTGTATCGCCGCTCCATAAGTCCAGCCAGAAGAAGGTAGACTACCCATCACCCACCACCTAACCTTCTTTAGAAACCTTTCAAAAACACCCCTCCATCCAAGCCAGAGGTTAGACCCAGAAGCCCTCTCTCTTAACCCCCCAAGTCTCAAAATGTGACCCGCCAACCAACCCTTCTTTCTCCTTGAAGATGGAGATTCAGAGGCGTTGAGATTCATTGATCAACCTCCGCCACCATCTCCCAAGATGTGCCTCGTCCAGCAGATAAATAATATGTCTCAGCCCAAGTCCCCCCATGCTCTTGGGTTTGAAGACTTCCTCCAAAGCAAGTGGACACCCGCCCTTTGCTTCCTCTCAACCTTTATAAAATAAACGTAGCTCAATCCGCAAGCCGGAACTGGGGCATGTCAAAGACGTTTTCCGCTAGATTACAGTTAACCCATGAGCACTATCTTGCTTCCCCAAACCAATGGGAATGGGCAGCGAGTGAGTACAAGAAGTACAGGGGCCACCTCACCTATCCGTCGCTGATGCCAAATCAAAGAAAGAAAATAATCTGTCTTTGCGCCTTTTACTTGACGCAAAGGACCTTCCTGATTGAACTTCGAAATTCTTCGAAGGAGCCAACCAATCATTAGATAGATGGTCGCAACATGCGCTCTTTTACATAATTACAAAATAGCGAATATCCTCCTATCGCCTCCCCCCTCCAATCCCCAGGCCCAAAGAGATAGGGCAACTCCGTTTTTGGGGTATCTTTGGCCCAGGTCCTGAATCAAAGAGCTGGATCTCATAAAACACTTTGATCATTACAAAGGCATACCTCACGCGCTCTGGCCATAAAGCACCTGGTGACATGTGCCACCCCTTTTCATGAGTGAACTTCACCAGAGCCGCAAAGCCAGAGAACTCAAACTGGAAGGTAGGAAAGAAGACGAAGTCTTAATCCACTTCTTATAAATCTTGTCTCCCGTCTCCCACGTTATCCCCTTTTCCACAGGGGATACTGGACAGCCAAGGTAAATAGAAAAGGAGGAGATCCCACCACCCAACGGACTACTAGCTTAACCCGAGAAAGACAAAGACAGGCTTTTGATCCATTTCACCAGCTGTAGGACTGGAGCTGATTCCAGTAAGTCTCGTACTATTGAGCTGTTCTGGAACTATTTCTACAGTCAGCTGTCGGGGATTGCTAAGTCTTTCACTTCGGGTTCTAATGTTGGTCAGTATCACGATGATGTTATAAGGTTGTTGTTGGATTCAAAGCTGAAAAGACAAGGTATTGGGTTTACCAAGACAGAGTTGATTGATTTACAGAGTGTGTGAACAGCACAGTGGCATGTTGGAGAACCAATGTTTGATCACCATTGGTGCCATCCTATGACTCACCATGAGATGGGTCATGAGGGCGAGGTGTGAGTGTCTTTGGTTTGACACTTGAACCTCTGGTTAAACTTGGAAAGGGACCGGACGAAGTTCCCTGGGGTCATAAGTTTTGTCTGGTGACCTGCCAAACTGGTTTTGTTTTGGGGTTGGTTGAATTCCTCCCCAAACATATAATGTTAGGATGGGGCTTACACCATCCCTCCCAGGCTAGGCAAGAGGTGCACTAGAGAAAGATAATGCCAAGTTTATTCAGTCGTTCCGTGTCAGCCATTAGGCAACTTACATGGCAGAATACTATGGAAAGTCTTCCTATCATGAAAGGCCTTTGTTCTTTGGTCTCTCTCATGATATTCAATGGCTTAAGCAAGGAACTCAGTGTTCGTGCCTTATTTTAAGGAATAGCATGCAAAGTGCTTAACCGGGCTCAGGATATTCTATTCATTGAGGCTATATCTGAGTAAGGTAAGCTATCCCCATCCTCTCTCTCCCTATAGGTCTCACTTCCTCTCCAGCTTACTATTTAGGGGCAGTCGAGCAATTGTCATACCTTGCTCGTTAGCGAAAGGGCTTGATAGCGTTTGGTTTGCGCTTAGGCACGAAAGGAAAGAGAAAAGGCAATAAAAAGCAACTCGCCCTGTTACACTTCTGTCATACCAGATCGACGGGAGTCCATGAAGAAAGACCTTTTACCTTTCGCCTTCTTGTCTGCATCTTTAGGCCTTCTCTCGGCTTGGCTTATAGGCTTCAATACCCTACCTGTGAAAAAAGGAGTTTTTACTTAGTGACATCGAGGTTTGAAACCCCCCTAATGGTTAGAGGTGATATCCTGCCCTCGGTCGGGTAAAGTCAGGGTTTAGGACTCAATCAAAGGAAACATATTGAATCTTGTCTCGCTAACTCTTCCTTCTTAGGGGTAGACCCTATGACAACTGCCAATGTCAGGTCCAACAGCTCTAGTTATCTTTCATTTGCTTTTCCGGCTTAGTTCAATTCATGGAGAGAGTTGCCCCTCAGCCCGCCACTGTTCTTGCTTAGTGAATAGATTTCCTTGAAAAGACGGAGTTCTTGTAGTCCTATCATCACTAATAGGAGGATGATTCTTGTCCGCTAGCTCACTAAGAAGAGAAAATGGATTATTGGAAGTAATTACTTTCATACTAATGGGAGAGTTGGGGACGTGGATGCCCCAAGTCGGATTGGTGTGCCCGAAGGTGCAATAATGGCGCCCGAGACGCAAAGGAACTGGAGAACTTCCTATGGGACATGGAGCAGTACTTCCGAGCCACTCGGCCAGGCTCAGATGATGCTATGGTGTCGATGGCAACAATCTATCTCACCGGAGATGCAAAACAAAACTATGGTGGCCCACGAGGTATGAGGACGTCCAGACTTGGCCTTGCACGATCGACACTTGGGAAGATCTCAAGAAAGAGCTTAAGGCTCAGTTCCTGCCCGAGAACGTTGATTGCGAGCAAGAGTCGACTCAAAGAGAGCGGATCGATTGTCAAGGAGGGGATCTCTTACTTCATTGGAACGGGAACTTACACAAAACTATGGGTAGATCCCTGGTTGAACGGCTCACCGTTGATCTACCAGCCATCTAGGTCCCACCCGACCGCAGTGGAAAGGTTTCCGATCAGCGAGCACCCCGCACACTGGATCGTAGGCTGCAGTGGCCCACCAGTAGGTCTTTTCTTTTGGGCATTCGGATTCGGAAGTTAGAGACTCAATAGGTTGGTTGTTTGCCTGTGACTGGCCTTTGTCCCATACAGAAAAAACTTCTAGTGGAAGTGAGGCGAGGAAGCAATAGATTCATCTTGTCATGGAAGATAGACATGAAGGCTAAGGCTTTGTAAGAGTGACCGGAGGAGCTAATAGTTTAACCGCCCATGCCGATCTGCCAACTTGCAAGGACTGACTTTCCGCTTACACCGTTCAAGCTTAAAGATTTGACTTTATATATCATAGAATTCGAAGAACGAGAAAGAGAGGTTACAGGCGAATAAAGCAAAGCAGCATCATTGTTGAATAGTTTATAGCCGTAGGACCTTCGATCATAGCATAGAGCATAGGCCATAGACATCCTTGAGAGTACTGCTCCCCTTTTGCATGAACAAACTTCATCACAAAAGAGAAAGCAGCCATCTCAAAAGGCAAACAAGTGAAACAGCTGGTATGAACATATTTTCTACCAGATGAATCCTTATAGCCTTTAAGAATGCTATTAAACCAAGTCTGTGTCGGAACCGACTTCCACGTGGGTTCGAAAGACATACCCTGGTGAAGGGGAATCCTAGTAACCCATGGTACATACCTAAGAATCGGCTGACGCAATAGTGGTCGCATTTCACCAGCGACGGATTCTATTGAATCAATAGACTTAGGAGGAGAAGTGATCGAAACAAACAGTGACTTTCGCACTCTCGCGGCCAAAGGTATTAACTTTGAAACCGACGAGAATAGCGACATGTACAACTGTATGATCAATACCTCCCCGCGTTCAATCTTCCCCCGGAGGGATGATTCTAGGCAGTCCCTTACGTGTTAAGGATACTGACGGCGTAATACCAGTTGGGATTTTCTCCCCAGCAGTATTTGAAGTGTGACTTTCCATTTCTTTAAATAAAGTGCAAGGTGAAGCCAACCAGATCGTTTCTGTATACGCCGTGCAGCAACCCAGAACAGGTGGGTGGCAATACACCACTCCTTGGTAATTTGCTTTTTATTATTATTAAGATTTGCTTTTTCATTCTTTTCAGCAACTCGCCAGACTCGAACTGGCACTGCTCTGATCAGGACGAGACTGTTCAATAAGCATTTTGTTCCTACAATAGAGTTGCTTTTGTTGTCGCAGTTCGAAAGGAATCCTTCCTACATCTGCGGGAAAGCCGCTTCATGGAATCCTCCGTCCGGACTCCCCCCAGATCCTCTTTCTGGTCTAGGGACAACTTTCAGCTTGATAGATGGATCCTGTCTCCTCACTGAAAGCTAAGCGGTTCACCAGTTAACCCCCCTCCCATAAAAGATCGGAAACTTTTTTCCTTTATTTGATTTTTATCAGAATACGAATGAGATCAAAAAGGCCATCATTAAGGCAAACAAGGCTATGGCTTCGGTTAGAGCAAAGCCCAAAATGGCATAACCAAATAATTGTTTTGCCAATGATGGATTTCGCGCCACGGAATGGATCAATGAGCTGAAGACGTTTCCAATACCGACTGCAGCTCCCGCTGAAGCAATTGTAGCAGCTCCGGCACCCATTGATTTTGCACCTTCTAACATCTCGAATTCCAAATTCTCGTCACGTCACGCTTTTTTCATTTTCTTTCATTCACGATTTGATGTTCTTTCTTGCTGATTCTTCCCCTCCTTCCTTTTTCTCTTGGGCATCTCAATGTTCATGCCTTTTCGATCTTGTACTTTAACCAGCGTACACTGAACACCAACCCAATCTCGAAGAGAATCAGTACACGCAACTACATCTCCGCTGATCTATATGCCCTGACGTGAACGGACGCTTTGTCATTAGAGTGGTATAACCTTAAATAAAAAAAAGAACGAGAAAGCTTTTTTATTTGTTTACTCAACTCGTAAAGGCAAACAAAAAGGTAGTTTACTTGCTTACTTGTTAAAGTAAGGGAGGAGCCTCGAATCAAAACGATTTCTCCTTTCTTTTCTACGCTACGAGATTTCTTCTCTTATGAAATTTCTAGTTTGATCGAGAGCGGTACACTTCTTCCCAATATGAGATAGGTTGCAGCTATAGTCAGAACTCAAACTGAGCCAATTGGGTAATTATGACCTGAGGTAGCGAACGAGACAGCAAATGGATGGAAATTCTCCACTTAATGGCTGCCGCTTCTAGCTCTGGCGCTCTTAATCTCGAAGGTCTTGGTAGGATTCTTACTTGCTGGCCCTGCCCTTTTCTTTCTTGCTTAATGGCATCCCTTGCTTAGTTTGGCAAGCTCCTTCCTTTGTTGAGCTCTGTCATACCGCTCTTCTATCTCTTTCATTGGCGCAATCTTCTTTGAATTCAATAAAGAATTGCGATTGACTTTTATGAAAGATATCTCCTCCCTTTAATCTAATCAGTATATTACTGATGAGTAAGGAACTCTCCGAAAGGAAGGTAAACAGGAGTTAACGGCAGGCGCAATAGAAAGGCAGTTGGAGACAGGCGATAGGCTTAGATCAGATGCAAAAGCAAGCTCAGTCTCAATATGCGCATTAGAGAAGGGGGGTTGGCGCTTCGGTCAAGAGGCTAGCTAGCGTCCCACCTTCCTGTCTTGACTGGTAGGCACAATCCCTTGAGTCTAGTTCTTGAGCGAAGGAATCGCTTTCAATGACAATTTCTCTTTAGAAAGAAGCCATCAGCCCTCTTCAAGCTGTATATAGATAGGAGATCCACTTCAAGTTCAAGGCTGGCAGCAAGCGTAAGTGCAATCGCAATCCCTATGAATATCATTAATCAATATCTCTCCGGCCCTCTAGCACTCTGTTATGGCGCAATCACTGACTCTAGTTCTGGAGTTCTAGGTCCTCTAGCTATTAGTGCTGGTAGCTCTCCTTCTGGTAATGCATTATAGGCTGTCTTCCTTCCACCTCTCTCTATCGCCCTTCCTTCTTTTAGCAGCTCATCTCGAATCTTGAATGTTTAGCGAATCGATCGTAATTGGTCTGACCGCTCAAGGCTTATCTCTCTATTCCCCTTTCTGGTCTCCGGTCATTGGTAGAAAGCCTGTAAATGGAATTTCTCTCCTCTCCCACCTCTCCAGCTTGGGAATACTTCTTTCTATTGGCTATATATCTGTAGTCACAATGCCAGTTCAAGCTATCTTCTGGATAGAGCAAGAAAAAGTATGCGCAAGTGCAGTAGTTCAAGGCAGGCAGGTAAGGGCAGGTAGTAAAGGCAAGCGCATAGGCAGGGGATAGGCATTCAAATCACTATCTTCAAATAGCTTATATTATATAAGAGAAAGAGTGGCTCGTGCATCTTTTCTTCTTTTAGACAAACAAGTCTAGTAGGCAAAAGAATTGTTATAGCAAGCATGGGCTAGCAAAGATGAGCGGGAATGAGCAATGACTTGAGTTTAGTTCTGGAGTTCGAGCGGGGGTAGCATTCCGGTCTTAAGCAAAGCCGTCCTGCCCGGCCATATGTCCTGTTTAGTCAGTTGCATATCGGTAAGCATGATTGTAGCAATACAAATAGGCGCGGTAGACGAAGGAGCTGTTTTCAACAAATCAATATATGGGTGCCTGGTGAATCCACACGATTCAGCCTCAGAATGCCCTTCGTGCCTAAAAGGTTAGTTCAAGGGCTTTGATAGGGAAATGCACGCACTTGTTGTCGTTTCAGATGCGATCAAAAAGCCTTTTTTTTTCAAGCGTAGAGACTACATATGAGGAAGATGCGAATAGAGATGCGGAAGTTCCTGTTGGAGTTGGAGGTGCAGGAGCAGTGAACATGACTCTTGCAGAAGGAAGAAATGCGGTAAATAAAGAGGAGTTCCAGGCGTAGGAGTTCATTCCACTATAATAAATAGGAGGAGCAGGTGCAAGCACGATCTATTCATGCCCCTGCTTAAACCACTCTACCCATAGAAAGATCTTCCTCTGCCACGCCCACTGCTTCAGTGAATTCCACCACTAGAGGTTCCAGCGAACTACAACTTCCGATGGTGACTTTCTTGATCCTTCTTCAAGGGCCTGCAAGCAAGCTACGGGCTGATAAGCCGCCGCGCGAGTAGCAGGAGATGTCTCAGCTCTTCGTTCGCAGGCACCCTAGACTACTTCCCACCAGAAGGAATGGAGTTGCTGACACTGAAGTTCGGAGCTATACCACAGAAAAAGAAGGATGTTCTGTGCCCCGATGTCTAGTAGAGTAGAACCGAAGCGTGAACACTAGATCGAAGGCTGCTGCAGAGAGAGAAGCTCTCGACTTACCCATATTTGGATGTGTGGTTATCATAGGTCAGCGCAAGAGCGAATCTTTCTCTTTCCTATAAAAAATCTTTCCTTTGCTTGCGTGGCCTGGCTCAAGCCCGTTAATACCTTCAAGGTGAAAGCATCCCCCAATCGGTAGCTAAGCTAGTTGACGGACCCTGTCCTGTCCAGGGAAAGCTTCACGCCCTGGAATGGAATAACTTCAGAAAGCCGAGTGCCGAACCGGAGATAAAGACGTAAACTTCTTAGAGCTACTTGAAGCTATACTCAAAGAAGGCCTACGCTTGACTTGTTCCTCCATTTGATAGTTCCGTTCCAGCTAGCGAGAGCACTACTTTACATGATAAGCGGCGAGTTTTTAGGTTCAGTAACGAACGATTGGGGATTTCGAAGATCCGATCTTTTCACATGCAATCCTCGATGAGATGATTCAATTAGGCCCGTTTTTGATCCTGAATGAATGGACGAAGGGTCTCACATTAGGGACCCCTCTCAACTAGGTATTCGGCCTAAGGAGAAATTGCATTTAAGCGAGCTTAAGCCTATAGTTACGTCTACTTTTAGGCAACCTCCTGCCTGATCGAAGAAAGGCCCCATTGCCTGATCATAGACTGGATTGGATGAGCTGAAAAATGGAAATGTCCAATCCTTCTCCGACCAATCCTACCTGACTTGTCTTATCTATGCTAATCGTGTGGGACTGGCCCTACTCACTTACCGGAAAGAGCAGAAGGCATTGACCCGCTATCCCCTTACCGGGCCTCAAACTCTTCGCGCAATTCAATTCCTTCTTCCTCAGCCACGGACGGATAAAGATAAGTTCTTCGTTTGCCTTCTCATAAGAAATGGGAGGCCGCCGATCCGAAAAGACAGGATACGCGAGAGAAGGGGCCCATTAGCCACCAATAGTAGAGAGTGGGGGCGGTAGTGCGGTAGGCATGCTAGCGTAGGCTTCACCCCCTGACTCTTTCTGCTCCCGGGCTGTATCTTGCCAGTCGATGGTTGTTTTCGGCGATGTTATGACTATAGCTTCCGTTCCGTCTGGGTGGTGCCTTTTCTCACGAAAAAAGGAGAATGGAATTTCTTACCACCCTTCGATCAGCTAATAAGGGGCACGGATCGTTAGCTCCTGCACACACACGTGGTACTGACTTGGCCTAACCCGCCTAACCGAGACTATTCCTCGAAGAGTGGTGATCCGCTTAAACAAACAAGTTGGTTCAGTACGCTCCCCGCCTAGCCCATCATCCCTAACGAACGGCAAGAGCAGATCCTTTTCTCGAGCAAAGCCAGACGGAACAGAGGCTAAGCAAGCTGAGGCATGAAGTTCACCGCTGACAGTTCAAGTAGTAGTCTTCCACTGTTCGATAGTGAAGCGATTTCGTACTAAACGCAAACACCGTGTTTTTTCGGCATCGAGCAGTTTCCGCTCTGAAAGAGGTGCCAAAATAGAGAAATTTAAGTGCTTTTACATCTATATGCGGCTGGACTTGATCAAAAAGATAGCGCGGCAGAATTGGTCTTGCTAGCTTTTTCCTATAGGCGAGATGCACCGTTTTGAGGACTTCTACCCAAAAAGAGGAGATCTAGTAGGTGGGCGAGTGTACTAGCAGTGGTTACGGCTGTTCCCTTAGCCTATGGTGATTCTATTCAATTGACATTACCTGCCCTGAAAAAGCTAACTTTTAGAGTTCCATCAAGGCCAGCCCGGCACTCACATAAGAAATACCACCCTTAGCAGATCTATTGTCTCCTCCGGACAACAAAAGAAAAGGCAATGCTAATTGAGGCTGGAAACGAACAGGCCTGAAACTATTAAATAGCCTTGCCCTCTTTCCGTCCATTCCCTACTCTCTCTAATCTGATCCGTATCTTCCATATGTAGACGAGAAATAGAAAGGAGAATCGTCACTCGGTACACCCCGGCCTACGTTCATAGCCTTTGTAAAGTCTGCCTTGCTTGTAGTAGAAAAGGTTGCTTACGGCGCTGGCTAGAGGAGCCCTTTATTGATGGGCTGACTTTCAATCTAGAGATCATGAATGAGAGGCGTTAGCAGTTTCAATAGGGGATAGCAGTGAGCGACCAAAAAAGGAACGAGAGGCGGAGTATTCTCTATGAAGATCCGTCTTCCCTGGCCTGATCTCACCATCGATGGGTGGCTTAGTCCGTTCGCTCCACATCGGGAACTTTAGTAGACCGAAAAACGGAGGAGCAGTTTGGTGGTTAGCTTCCCGGTGACCAGCTCATTCATTTGATTCCCTTCATTGCTATATCGACTCTTTCTTAAGCCTAACGACTACTTTATATGACGATTTTGAATGTTTGCGATTTATATTAGTCACCCCTTTCCTGTTATACCGAAATTACTTGGTCCGAT